GGACGCAGCCTTGTGCTTGCATCAAATTAAAGCGGTGAAACAGTCGGAGACCTTTCCCTCGAGCTGAAAATTCGAAACTAGGGTACCGCTCTGCAACTGAACTGCACGCGGAGCCGCTTTCCGAATGATCTCAACTGTAGAACAGGAGATCGCTGGAAGGAAAAGGCAGGTGGGCACGCAGTTTTTCCCAGAGGTGGACCGCGCCTCGCAGTAGGTCAGAGAAGAGCCGCAACGAGCGCAAAGGCTCCTCAATGCTTCTGCAGGATTTGTGAGGGTGAGGCAAATCAAGGTTGGCGAGAAGTCCAGTGCAGGAGAGGAACAAAAACCCACCAGGGAGAAGTCGAGAAGCCCAATCTGCAGGACAGATGCACCGAGGCTCAAGCTTGCACTGCTGGTGCGACAAGTACACACAGCTGGCAACGGTGGCATCAAGGGGAGCAGAGTTTCGGTGGGCAACTCAGGCAGCAAAGTCCGTAGCAGCAGGAACTTCCTGAAAGGTGTGGGCGGGAACTTCATGCTGTAAAGTAGCAGTCGTTCGGTCAACACCTTCGCATCCTCCTCCGAGCCACTCAACAAAGTCAACACACTCGAGAAAGCGGGCGATGTAGACATGCCCAAGTAACAGACACATCCTCATCAGCGTGCCTGCATAGCGGGCTGAAGTTGTCGGCACCCATCATCAAATTTTTTACTTCCAGTAGCAGGGGCAGGCATGCAGTGAAAACCAGCATTGATCAGGGCATGCCTGCACGTTCGAGAGTACTCGAGGTGGCTACACAGTTTTTTGTTGGTACTGAAGTGTCTTAAGCAAACAGAACACTGCGTGCCGTGGGCAAGCAGCCGAACAAGGCTTCCGTGCCGCTTGAAGGCGTGGTGCGACCAGGCTCTAAGGTCGCCAAAAACGACGCCACACTAGCACAGAGCTCATGCTTGCTCTCGAGTTCTACAACCTCAGAAGGGACTACGACAGCGCCAGCCTTGGTAAAGGTCCTGAAGGCAAGGCCTTGGTGCTGCTGACACTCGGCAAGCCAAAGTTCTTGAAGGATGGCAGTTTTCTTGGCTCTGTTGACAGCTCTCTTCCATCCATTGGGAAAGCAACGGATGTAATCAATAATTCCGTGCAAATCCTCCCAGGCAGAGAGGAAGGTATCAGAACCTTGATGCTGCTGTCGAAACCATTCAAGAGAAAGCTGGATGTCCGTTAGCCAACTCTGTTCATAATGAAGTATGGCCCAGAGCGCATCAGTGGTTTTGAGGACAACGGCTTTCAAGTGACGGAGTCTTTCAACATGCAGAGAAGTGCTGGCACTCGCAACTCGGGCGGTGGCGAGTACATACAACGAGCTCAAGTGACAAGCCTGCTCGTGCGTATAGCGGGGTCGGAGCATCTCCCGGGTCATCTGCAGTAAACGACCTTGGATCTTGTCAACATCAGGCGGCCGAATGGAAACCCAGGTTCCCAGGCCGTAATAGAGTGTTGACTCAACAAGAGAAGTGACAAGCGCAGATTTTTTAGCATGGCTGACTACAGTCTACAGGGGACCCGAAGACAAGGCGTTTATGTTGTTAAACGCCAGCCAGGCTGAACCAATGCGCGCCTTTAACTCACACCGCAGGCCACCTCCAGCCTGGATGATGCCTCCAAGGTGTTTATATGCGGCAGAAAGTCGGAGTCTGGCATCAGTCCAGATTGCAGATCGAAGAGGCAAAGTTGGGTCGGTGCAGTCGAAGGTCTGTTTGGCAGCGGCGAGCGAGCCTCTGCCCAGAAGGCTCACAACCGCCTCTGTCTTTCCCTGTCGAAGACTCGGCAGAAGAGCAGCTTGTACACATTCGTCAATCGTAATCGTGGCTGCAGTAATTCGTAAGCCTCTCGAGCAGTGCCGAAGTATCGGCTTGGAGTAGGATTGACATATCATCCATCCATGTAGCATCGACAGGTGAGCAGGTGCCAGCAGGGCAATCGGAACTGTATGGAAGGCTGCAAAGCCATCTAGGATGCCACGGTATACGGGAAACAATTCCTGCATGGTGGAATTGTGCGCGGATCCTTTTGGAGACCTCGGCGAATAAAAAAGTGAAGATCATGTCAGCGAGGTTGTCCCCGGGACGTGTCCCGCCCCGGACATAAGCAAAGCCTCCAGAATTTCCTAGAGAAAACCACGCGTCTTCGCCGACCTCATGCATTATGGCGGCTGTCCATTGAGTGGACCCAGACTCGATGAGGAGGGACTCATCTCTCACGTAGGCATGGCTCCTTGACAATCCCGGCAACATATATGGTGGTCGTCTAGCGGCCCTCCGTGTATGAGGGGGCGTACCACACAGTGAAATCCTTCGCGAAGGTCGACAAACATAACAGCACATGGCCGTTTGCGAGCAATGCAAGCGGCCTGGAACGCTCTCACGGCTTGTGTTGCTTTTTGAACTGGCTGACGATTCCTCCCCCCGATTTGGAGAGGCAAACGCCCCGTGAATAGCTTTGCCGGTAGAGCTGCTCACTAGGTCTGTCATTGGCGCAGTCAGATTGGCTGCCCTTGCCTTTCCTTATCGCGTGAAGGGAACCACCCTTCCAG